AAGTCGTCCCCTTTCTGCGCTATTTTCTTCGTCTGCTAATTATGCTGGCATCTGTCTTTTTCTGTTTTCTTGACATTTTTCATTCCTATTCTCAGTCTGCGTCTATTGTTACTACCTCGTGTCACTGCCTCTCTCTTCTGTCCTTATCTCTTCTCTTTCTCCTCTCTGCATTTCCCTGTTCTACACTCATGTATTTTCTGCACATCTCAGTCTTATTTCCTCTCCACTTCTCACCTGCTTTTTTTTTCTCTCTGTCCTCTCTCGTCTTTATTCACTCGCCTCTTCTCTTTTCTCCTTTTACATTTGCTGTCTCCCCCTATTTCCTCTTTGCTCCCTCTTCCCTTCTTCAGCGTTTTCCCGACGATGTCTCTTATCGCTTCTGCCGTTATCCCGTCGCCGAAACGGGGGGAAAATGCAGATTAATTTCCGCGTCGCCATCAACCGCCCGTTAAGTTTATTTCACCGAGAAATTATCTCCGCCTTCCTTGGAATGCGATGACTTACTCGCTGCCGTCGACGTGGTGACAGGTGGGACGTGACGGATGGCAGGCACGGGTGGCAGGAATGGCATAAAGTGCGACGTTGTAAATTGATGTTTTCGGTGTTGTTAACAGGGTAATCGGGTGCGCGGACGTCCGGATGATGAAATGAACGTGAAGTGAGGCGGAGGGAGGCATGCCGAGGCGGGTGATCAGTAGGTCGACTGGCGGAAATCTGAGGAAGGAAAATGGTTTATGATGAGGGAGAGAGGGAGAGAAGAAAATGAACACACACACACACACACACACACACACACACACACACACACACACACACACAGATATATATATATATATATATATATATATATATATATATATATATATATATATATATATATATATATATATATATATATATATATATATATATATATCAGCTCACATGTATTAAATGCTAGGATGTGATCACCAAACCCGACCTTGTTATGAGCATTAATTACGGGAGAACAGTGAATCTTACAATATCTAAAATGTGATAAAGGTAACATTACAAGAAGCAGTTACTGAGCCCTGCGACCATAATCGCATTAATCAACGCGCAACGGTTTCCTTCGGCTTGAAGTCCTCGCGCCGAGAGGACGAGGAAGTGCCGCTCCGCCGATTCCGCGCGGAGTTCGGCAGACGACGTGGTCTCCGTGGCCCAGGCAGCGTCTCCCTCAGGTAGCCTCGTCCTCGCCGACACCCCTCCCCCCACAGGGACGTTCACCGGCTCCATTACTCTGCTAAGCACGGGAAGCATCCAAACATTCTCTGTGTCAAGGCTATAAGTCCTTCTCTTTTCCCCCTTTCCTCCCTCTCCCGTTTCACGTCCTCCACTTCTTTCCTTGGCTCCACCCCCTTCCTTCCTCCTTCTCCCTCTTCTCCCGTTCTCTCTCTTCTCCCCCTTCTCATCCCCTTGCCCTAGTGTGCACCGCCGAGGAAGTTTGTCGGACTTAAATGGCACACGGTGGCTCAAGCAGAAGGTATTCGCGCGCGCTCGTCGGCAACAGATCCATCACGGATCCAGACATCGACATTTGGCCTTCTATCTCCTTTTTATCGTCTTCTGTATTTTTCCCCAGTTCTTTCGTCATTTTTTTTTATCGCGCGCTCGCTCATACGCACGCACACGCACGCACACACACACACACACACACACACACACACACACACACACACACACACACACACACACACACACACACACACACACACACACACACACACACACACATTTTTATGTAATATATATGACCATAATGTGATTAAGTAGCAGTTACTTTTTTGTTGTTGATTTCGTGGCAGTTACTCTGCTGGATTACCCCGCAGCGCCCTAAATAGATGACGCCTCCAAATAGCATTTAAAACACACGCGAGACCTCGCCTAACCTCCACGCCGGCCGGTTGCCTTGGGTCAGGCGCTAAATATGCGTTTTGTGCCTTTTAAACCAGCTAAAAATAGCCTCGTCCTACACGATGCGTGATCCCGAAGCCGAGCAGACAGCGCGTAAACACCGGGTGCGAGCGGGATCGACAGCCTCTGTAAACAGTAATGAGTTCGCAATCAGTGCATGCCCGCGAGGATTCCGCCGCAATGCACAGGTCATGCTGATCATGAGTTCTTTTAAACATTATTGGGAAGAAAGGTTAATCTATCTAATGAATATTGGTTCTAATGAATCTGCTCTTTCTCTCTCTTTCTCTCTCTTTCTCTCTCTCTTCTCTCTCTTTCTCTCTCCCTTTCTCTCTTTCTCTCTTTCTCCCTTTCTCTCTCTCTTTCTCTCTCTTTCTCTCTTTCTCTCTCTCTTTCTCTCTTCTCTCTCTCTCTCTCTCTCTCTCTCTCTCTCTCTCTCTCTCTCTCTCTCCCTCTCTCCCTCTCTCCCTCTCTCCCTCTCTCCCTCTCTCCCTCTCTCCTTCTCTCCTTCTCTCTCTCTTTCTCTCCTTCTCTCTCTCTCCTCTCTCCCTCCCTCCCTCCCTCTCTCTCTCTCTCTCTCTCCCTCCCTCTCTCTCTCTCCTTCTCTCTCTCTCTCCTCTCTCTCTCTCTCTCTCTCTGTCTCTCTCTGTCTGTCTGTCTCTCTCTCTCTCTCTCTCTCTCTCTCTCTCTCTCTCTCTCTCTCTCCTATGTAATTGTGTAACTTTGTTATGTGTTTCTCAATCTTTTAAGGGCATGGTTAGCCCGTTTAAATGCCCGGATAACGTTGCAAGACGAGAAACAAAAAAGGTAAAGGAGGCCATATCTCTTATCACATGTGTCCTCCCTCATCTGTGACCTCGTGTGAATTCCCATCGTACCTTGTATAACCCTCGTGTGACCTGACCTGCCTCGTGTGGCCCGACGTAGCTCCAGCGTTTTCGTATATCCTCCCTCTCTCCCCCTCCTCCCTTCCTCCCTCCCTCCCTTCCTCCCTCCCTCCCCCCCCTCCCTCCCCCTCCCCTCTCCCTCCCTCCCTCCCTCCCTCCCTCCCTCCCTCCCTCCCTCCCTCCCTCCCTCCCGACTAGGACCCGACTCGTAACGATCGGGCGACGTCAGGCGGAGGAGGGCAAAGGAAGGGGCACATTGGGAGAGAGAGACTCGAGTGACTCTTATTCCCGAAAGGGGGGGCAGGGGGGGGGCAGGAAACGGGGTAGGGGGTGTAGGGGATGGGGGGGCGTGTTGATCGGAAAGAAGGGGGGTAGGGTTTGGGGTAACAAGTATGAGTGCGAGGGTGAGACCACTTCATGAGGGAGAAAAGGATAGGGTGAGAAGGCGAGGGGCGACCAAGAGTCCAAACGGAAAGGGGGGCGAGAAGGGGAAGAAGAAAGAAGTGGAGGAGGAGGAGGGCGACGACGGCGACGACGGCGACGACAAGGAGGAGGAGGAGGAGGAATAGAAGAAGAAGGGGAAGGAGAAGGAAGAGATGGAGGAGAAAGGAGGAGAAAGGAGGAGGAGGAGAAAGGAAGATAATAATAATCATGATAAAAGTAGGAGAAAGGATTAGAAGTAGAAGAAAAATAAATGAAAGGAGAAGCAGGAAGAGGAAAAGGTGGAGGAGGAGGAGGAGAAAGGAGAAAGAAGGATAATAATAATAATGATGATGATAAAAGTAGGAGAAAAAGAAACGAAAGGAGAAGGAGGAAGAGAAGGGGAAGGAGGAGGAGAAGCAGAATGAGTTGAAAGAAAAAGGAAAGGAAGGGGAAGGCGAGGAACGGAAAGTTAAGAAGAGGAGGAGAAGACGGAACGGAAAGGAGATGGAGGAGGAGGAGGGGAGAAGGAAGGATGGAGGGAGATAAAAGGGAAGGAAGAGGAGGGAGAGTGCGAGGGTTGCAACGAGGGTGCAGAGATGCAGGGTGCAGTCAGAAAGAAAAGGAAAGAAAAGAGAGGACCGTATGGTGTACGGACGTGAAACAGAATGATAATAGAGGGGAGAATAGGCAGAAGTAAAACCTTTTTTTGGTGGTTTATCTTAATCCTGATTTGCTTTTTGGAATATTTGGAAACCTTACTTGTTTTTGTTGACTGTTCACTATAGCTGTATTGGATTTCGTGTCTACCTTCTCTCGAGACGCTGATGTCAAATACGGTCTCCTCCCTTCCTCGTCCCTCCCTCTTCCTCTCCGCGTTCCTCCTTTCTCCTTCTTTGCCCCCCCCCCTTCCCCCTACCATTTCCTCTATTCCCTCTTCGATCTAACAGCTGCTAACCGTAAACCTTTTAATGACTCTCTAGTGTTTAATTGGGACTATTTGATAGCAACAAGGGAATGGCCAACAGCTATTTTCAGTCTTTTTTGGGGAGGCCGCGGAACAATGGCTTGATTACCATTTCAACAAACAGCCTCTTCTGGGATCAAGTGCCGCCCTGCATTGTACTTCGGCGGCGCTTTCGGCAGGCGGTGCTCGGGGGGGGGGGGGCGGGCCGTCGACACCGTGCGTATGGCATAAGCTCGGTGTCGACGGCTCGTCTCTCCCCAAGGTTGTTGCGTGCAGAAGTCTTGGGAAGCCGATGACTTATTATAAAAGAGGGGGGTTTTTATGTGACTCATCGACTTTATTCATTTTCGTTAAAAAAGGGGAAATAGAAATCAAGGTGTATTTGTGATGACGATTATGATAGTAGGAAATGAGGATTACGGTGCATTGTGATGAGGTAAAAGGCAATTAATATGGAGAGAAAAGACTTGGTTCAGTGATGCCAATTATAGATTAGAGCAATGCATTCAGTTTAATGCCGGCGATGGTCAATAAATATGTAAAACATAATTTTTATTTCGTCCGCTTAAAGCATGAAATATCGTTGTGTTGATTTTATGTTGCAGACAGGCAATATTTCGTGTGTAACGAGGTAGTAGAGTTCAAAGGGTTGATGAAGTGGCGATATTTCGCGTGTCTGCGGCGGCGAAGCGCCTGAATGCTGTCTCCGAAGCCTTTCAGATGCCTTGTTTTGCACGCTCACTTTCACAAGCTTCATATTTTTGAAATTGCGTTCTTTCCTTTGCAGGTGTGATGAGGTTGAGGAGCAGGCGCGGGCGGGGAGCAGCGCGGGGGCCGTGTAGGTGCTGAGGCTCGCACCGTCAGGATGGACCACAGCGTGAAGGCCATGACGCCGCACCGGAAGGTGGCCTTCTCCCGGCTCTGCCACCGCCACCGCTTCGAGAATGACGAGCTCGAGAACCTTTACCGCCGCTACACTCTCAAGCTGCAGCAGGCGAGCGTGGCCGCGGCTGCCGCCCTCCTGCTTACTCTGTCGCTCCTGCTGGCGGCTCTGCACGTGACCTACGCCCAGGTCGCGGCGCCCGCGCCCATCACCCTGCTGGCCCTGGCGGTGGTGCTGGCCGCTCTGCTGGTCGTGCTACACTCCCGCGTCATGAGACACTCTTACCTGCTGCCCACCTGCTACCTTCTGTTGGCCCTGGGCGCCATCCTGGTTGCCCTGGCCCTCCCTCTGCCCTCGGGCTGGGGCTGGGTGGGCTGGCAGTCCATCCCGACGGCCGGCCAGGGGGTCTGGCATGCGACCTTCGTGGCGTTCCTCGTCTACGCCCTCACGCCGGTCTCCACGCCGCTGGCCCTCACCTACGGTGTCGTGCTGCCGGCCGGCCAGACCGCCCTGGCGGCCACGCTCGCCACCACCTTCACGCACTTCCACTGGCAACAGGTAGGTCCTTTGCTCGGCGGACGAGCTGCCGAGGGCAGCTGCTTGCCTGCTCGGTTGAGCGTTCCCTTACATCCGTGCACGCACACGCACGCAGGAACACACAGTTATACTTTCTCTTGCACTCCTGTCCTCCCCTTCCCTCACCCTTTCCCTCCTTTCTCTTTTTTACAACCCCGAAAACTGAATAAACAGTTACACCTGTTTTTTCCCATTTGTTATATAAAGAAAGCGTGAAAAGGGAAGTAGGAAAAGTAATTTTAAGAGGGCGCCAAGCCAACAAGGGAATGTCAAGAAAGTAATTTTTCACGCGGTTATACTCGCCGTGAAACTGCTGCAAGAAGTCGGTAGGAGCCTAAACGAACAGAATGTTGCAAGGCATGACAGGTGCCGACAAGCACGGCAGGTGCTGATAGATCGGCAAATCACGCATTCTTTTCGATTTCTCACATTTTCCTTTTGGCAGGGAAGGCTGGAATCTTTGCAAGCATGGCTGTGGAATCGGAGTCGGAAGGAATTCGGTTTTGCTGGAGCCGGAGTTGGAGTCGGAGCAACATAAATCGCAAAAATCCCACTTTTTAAACATATTGGAAATAACCCGAGAGAATGAGAAATCATATTTTTTCATTTTGACAGTCCTATATGTATTTTTTTAAAAGCATAATTATTTTTTTTAATTGAGAATATACAAAAAGCTATAACCATTTCAAACAAATCTTTAATTACATAGGGTTAAAAGGTAGCCTGTAGTTGTTATGAAATCCATTTTATTTATTATTATACCTGGCAGTGAACATTACATTTTCTCGGCGGCAGTTTGTTAATACCGAAGAAATGGAAGTAGGGGAAGGAACGTGAGTTTTCGGAGGTTGTCGACTTCCGCTTGGGCGAAATGGGAGGGTCTGTTTCGTTCTGTGCGGCAGGAGTGGCTTTGTTTCCATTTTTAAGCTGAGCGGGGGAGGGGGGAGGGGAGTTTGCTTGTTTATATATGCCTTTTGAGGACCTGGAGTTCCCTTTCGGATTGGATAGGTTGAATTTCTCAAGTTTCATCGTAGGCAAATTTTATACCTTAGGTTTTGCATCGTGAAGGGAATGCTGAGAAAACCTACTATGGTTTCTATTCGTTTCAGCAAGTTACGATAGAAGCTTGATAGCAAGTAGGTAGGGTTCATGATCAATTTTGGTAGAGGAATCGTGAAATAGCGTGCAAGGGAAAGTGTTTTTTCGACCTTAAAAAAATATACAGCCCGTGAAGTTTTAAGGAAAGGGATTCTATTTGTTTGTTTTAAGGATATTTTCCCTAATAAAAACGCTAAGCACCATAGAGTGAGTTTTACTTTGAATTAGTGATCTCTCTTTTAATGGGAAAAAAATAACTGATAAAAGAGATGAAAGCTATATACGCCCGTTCTCGGTCAAAAGCTAACATTTATCTCGGGGGAAAAAAAAACAGCCCGAGCAAGAACGTCGATGGGTTTTTGTTTCTTATCAGATCTAGGTCACCGAAACAGTTGCGAAAGGATTAGACGAAATCTTGAGTTGCGATGTAAAAATAGCCCGTGATTGTTTTCACTCGAGGTTCCCCGCAGCGAGGCTGTTTGCGAATGTGGCATTGATCACTTATAGGAGAGGAGAGGAGGAAGCCGTCCATTTATGAGCGTCGCTGAATGCTCTCGAAAGCGAAGATTGTGTTTTGGCCGACTTCTGCTCGTTGGTTTCTGCGGTTGCCTCGGCAGGATTAAGAGAAAAAAATACTTAGCGATTGTGATGGAATTTTATGGGAGGGTCGCCCATGGTTCAGGGGCTAATTAGACTTTAAAGATGAGTCGCCAGTGCAAAATGTGCGAACATGC